CACTTAGCCAGTCCCTGGGGCCAACACAGTTCCCTCTGTGGTGACCTAACAGCAGCTTCCATTAGCTGTCCAAGCAACTGTGTTTCCACCCAGTACTTTTGGCGCTTGAGATTGGGGGTGGGGGGTGGGGGGGTTATTTAAAATAAATAAAATCAAAGGTGGCAGTAGAGGATTCCTTTTGCTTTAAAAAAAATATTTGGATTAAAAAGAAAAAAAAATGTTTTTTATATATAAATATATAAAGTAAATTGTTATGTAACTATTATTGTTTCCTGTATGTTCTAATTTTTGTTTTATGATGTAATTAAAGGAAATAAGCTGTGAAGACTTTTCATTTTGCTGCGGAAATAGCCTGACTTTTAGCTAAGAATCTTAACATCCTTGAACCCTTGGTGTGTAAAGGCCCCTGAGGCTCAATCTTTTGGGCATCTTTATTTATTTATTTATTTTTTGCTATCCTTTAATTAGTACTCGTCATTAATTTTTTAAAGTATTTAGTATCTTTTCAATAGCCTTTTCAACAGCCTTAATATCCTGCATTCCACTTGTCTCTAAGAAAAATGGAGGACATAATATAAATCAGAGTTTATAAAAAACCTTTGTCTTAATTAATTTGATAGTAACAGTTCAGTCTGAGTCCCTTATCTCTGCAGAGCATTGCCCTTAGACTAAACAGGAGTGAGGGAGTAGTGTAATGGTTAATCACGTAAGTTCCATGTTAACCAGCTCTATCTCAGTTAACCACTCTGTCTCAGTTCTTTGTTGGTAAAGTGGGGACGACAGTACCTGTTTTAGAGTTGTGAAGATTAAAAGCAAAAATAGTGGCATACAGTGAACACATTACCTGCTTTGATTTGCTTCATTTCAGCATCTAGTCTGCTGGAGGCTCCTAGCTTGAAAGATAAACAAAGGCTAAATGCAGTGGGGTCCCTATCCTTTGGTGGAGATAGGAACTAGAAGTAGAGCCAGATCAGCAACCTTGATTTAGATCTCAGGGTGTCTACCCTGCCCTGAAACACACCTGAGGAGCCCTGTGGGATCATGAGCCTCACTTGAAATCCACTCATACTGAGTGAGGTAAAGGCCTAGTCTGGATTGGTCATCTGGGGCCGACGGGATCCCACACTGCCTTCCAGGGGTGCAAGCAGATACGTGCCTGCTTCCTTGTCCTTACTGAGGCAGCCTTGGCCTAGGAGATCAGTCCTGGGTGTTCATTGGTAGGACTGATTTTTGAAGCTGAAACTCCAATACTTTGGCCACCTGATGGGAAGAGCTGACTCATTTGAAAAGACCCTGATGCTGGGAAAGATTGAGGGCAGGAGGAGAAGGGGACAACAGAGGATGAGATGGTTGGATGGCATCACCGACTCAATGGAAATGGATTTGGGTGGACTCCAGGAGTTGGTGATGGACAGGGAGGCCTGGCATGCTGCAGTTTATGGGGTTGCAAAGAGTGGGATGTGACTGAGCGACTGAACTGAACTGGCCTTTGAGGAACGCAAGTTCTAGGTCTTTGAACTTCAATATGCAGATTCTCCCTTCCCTTCCTTTAATCCTGTTAATCAGTTCAGCCAGTGTTTAGAGCCTTCCTCCTGCCTACCCCACCTAGCCAGGTTTAGGACTCACCAGAGATGATCAGTAAATGACAAATGTGGTAAATGATTAATAAAAGCATTTTGGTCTGTCTTCCACACCATGCACACATGAGTTTTTCTTTTCAGTACGTTTAAAATTTTCCATCAGAAAGTTTTAAGGGAAGGGAATTGAAAAAAAAAAAAAGAATAAAACATGGCCTAATATCACTTACTAAAAAGTACCTAATTTAATATAAAGTTGGTTTTCTACATGGAAAAAAAGACACAGAAAATTAAGTTTCAGGTAGATTATAAACCTAAAAATGACACAAAATTAAGATTTTAATTCAACTACATTTAAGAAAAAGAAAGCTCCATAACCTCACTGTTCAAGAATAGCTGTAGTTGAGCACCTTGGGACAAGAGTTCCTTATCTATACTGCCAGGGTGTTTGCCTCACAGGCTTGGCCAGCTCAGCTTAGCTTGTCCCAGGGGTTCCAACAGCTTGCTGCTGAGCAGAAAGAAACATGAGCCTGGGGCCTGCTTGTAGGACACATCACAGTTTGGCTCTTCACCTGAACCCTGGTGAAGCATCTGAGGATTTTAACAAGGCTTCTGATGAACATAGGACCCCAAAGAACCAGGCTTGCACCAGTCTCCTCCTCTTGAGCAGGGCATCTCTGGGTCTAGGTCAGAACCAGGTAGTAGCCATCTGGATTCTGCACTGAAAGCAGTTAAAGGGGCTCTAGTGGAATGAGGCAGACCTCCAACCTACTGTGCTGCTCCCAAACATCAAAGCAGCCTGTGTTACATCTGCCACATCAAGTGTTTTTCCAGGGCCCCCGATTCCAGCTCTTTAGGAGCCCCCTGGGTATAGGAGCACAGAGGGAGAGAGGGCAGGCAGTGACTAACCAGGACCACCAGCCTGCTGCTCAGAAGTGCTCTGCTCCAGGTGATGTCCAGCAAGCCCTTGCCCTCATGACCAGTGTGACTGTTGGTGGGGTTGAGGCAGTGTGGTGTGGAGAACAATTTTCCCTCTCCTAATAACTCCCTGAAACCAGGGCGTTTTCCCCCCGTGAGAATATTGTTACTTTTTACTGAGCAATGAGTAGCCGTTCTTGGCTATATGACTCTTGTCTCTTTGACACAAAGCTGGCATGGAGCAGATGTTCACCACTTGGTTGGGGCACAGCACCCACAACACACCTTCAAGGAAACTTTCAGCCTCATATAGGAGACAGTGTAAGACAATCTTACCCTTTCTAGGGCCTGCCAGGCACACAACCGCTCCCTCTAAAACCCCTACCTTTCTTCACCACAGCCACAAAGTATGATTCATCTTTAAGATTCTGAACCACCTGCAAGGGAGAAGGGGTCACTAAGACAATTCTGTTCTTAGAGCCAAACAGAATAAGCTATGGCAGAGACAGCGAGACTGGGCCTGAGGTTGGAAGAGTATTTCAGGCCTTGGAATGTGCAGGGAACCACTGCCTACTTTACCTGGTCACTGAGGAGAATGAGGATGCCCCCGGGGCCCTGATGGAAAAGATGATAGATCTGATTGGCTGGGAGGGCCAGGAGTTCAGCCAGTTTCTCCAGGAGCTCTAAGCACTGAGTTCATCCAGAGAGATCTCTTGATAAAAGCCTGGGGGTGTGGGCAGCACAGGGACAGGAGTCAGTGGGGGGTGCCACTGCCCAGAGGGCAAAGTAACAGTTCATTGGGAGGTGCCCAGATGGGGAGGAGTAAAGGAGAAAAGCTTATAAATTCACTTCCATTTTCACCTCCCATTCCTTACCTCTGGCAAGGCCTCAAATTGAGAGGAACCTCCAGTTTAAAGAAATGATGGGATGCCATATGAATGACTGAAGCCCAGATACAATAACAAGATTATAGTGTTCTAATCCCTTGTACCAATAGAATGACAAATTTGGATGGAATTTGTGGAATCAGAGTGTAGAGCATGGAGGAGTAAACCCAGGGAGACATCCTGGAAGACTAGTCAAATCACAAAAGATGAGAATGCCAAGGGCATGCTGGGTCCCAGGCCAGAAGAGGTTTCATGCAGCCACGCCTGGCTTCTTTTGTTTTCTGAAAAGGCCAGAACCTCACCTGAGTCAGGGTTCTTAGGAACCTCATCGTCTTGTAGAGGCCTCCTGAGCAACATATAAGGTCAGCCGGTGTCGGATCGGCCTGGACCAAGAGAAAAGTCTACAATCATACCTGAACTAACAGGTCCCAGTTTTAGCCCCTTTGGGAGAATCCCACCTCCTCCCAGGTGTAGTGTGACTGTTGGTGGGGTTGAGGCAGTGTGGTGTGGAGAACAATTTTCCCTCTCCTAATAACTCCCTGAAACCAGGGCGTTTTCCCCCCGTGAGAATATTGTTACTTTTTACTGAGCAATGAGTAGCCGTTCTTGGCTATATGACTCTTGTCTCTTTGACACAAAGCTGGCATGGAGCAGATGTTCACCACTTGGTTGGGGCACAGCACCCACAACACACCTTCAAGGAGACTTTCAGCCTCATATAGGAGACAGTGTAAGACAATCTTACCCTTTCTAGGGCCTGCCAGGCACACAACCGCTCCCTCTAAAACCCCTACCTTTCTTCACCACAGCCACAAAGTATGATTCATCTTTAAGATTCTGAACCACCTGCAAGGGAGAAGGGGTCACTAAGACAATTCTGTTCTTAGAGCCAAACAGAATAAGCTATGGCAGAGACAGCGAGACTGGGCCTGAGGTTGGAAGAGTATTTCAGGCCTTGGAATGTGCAGGGAACCACTGCCTACTTTACCTGGTCACTGAGGAGAATGAGGATGCCCCCGGGGCCCTGATGGAAAAGATGATAGATCTGATTGGCTGGGAGGGCCAGGAGTTCAGCCAGTTTCTCCAGGAGCTCTAAGCACTGAGTTCATCCAGAGAGATCTCTTGATAAAAGCCTGGGGGTGTGGGCAGCACAGGGACAGGAGTCAGTGGGGGGTGCCACTGCCCAGAGGGCAAAGTAACAGTTCATTGGGAGGTGCCCAGATGGGGAGGAGTAAAGGAGAAAAGCTTATAAATTCACTTCCATTTTCACCTCCCATTCCTTACCTCTGCCAAGGCCTCAAATTGAGAGGAACCTCCAGTTTAAAGAAATGATGGGATGCCATATGAATGACTGAAGTCCAGATACAATAAGATTATAGTGTTCTAATCCCTTGTACCAATAGAATGACAAATTTGGATGGAATTTGTGGAATCAGAGTGTAGAGCATGGAGGAATAAACCCAGGGAGACATTCTGGAAGACTAGTCAAATCACAAAAGATGAGAATGCCAAGGGCATGCTGGGTCCCAGGCCAGAAGAGGTTTCATGCAGCCACGCCTGGCTTCTTTTGTTTTCTGAAGAGGCCAGAACCTCACCTGAGTCAGGGTTCTTAGGAACCTCATCGTCTTGTAGAGGCCTCCTGAGCAACATATAAGGTCAGCAGGTGTCGGATCGGCCTGGACCAAGAGAAAAGTCTACAATCATACCTGAACTAACAGGTCCCAGTTTTAGCCCCTTTGGGAGAATCCCACCTCCTCCCAGGTGTCTAGGGAGAGGGGTCACCAAGATTTAGTGAACGCTGGACCCTGTGGGGAAAGGAGAGGAGAAAAATCCACCTTTACTCCCAGAAACTGAGTGATGCACACGGGATGGCCACAGAACGAAGTCACAGCAGCCTAACTTTAAGCCCAACTCTGCTAGGCTTGCTCTGACCTCAGGCAGCAGGTTGCCGTCCTCCTCAGGTTTCTTACTATCCTGAGTTTCTTACTTTGTAAAAAGAAGTGGGGGTAAGTAGTTTTTCAGGTGCCTTCCACTTAAACATTCTATGAAACAGGACTGCAGCTGAGTTGGTAAGTGCGGCTACACTGGGAAGGCTTCCCAGGTGGCACTAGTGGTGAAGAACCTGCCTGCCAATGCAGGAGACAGACAAGTTCAATCCCTGAGCTGGGGATGATCGCCTGGAGAAGGGTGTGGCAACCAACTCCAATATTCTTGCCTGGAGAATCCCATGGACAGAGGAGCCTGGCAGGCTGCAGTTAATAGGGTTGCAGTCAGAGGTGACTGAACTGACTTAGCATGCACACACTGCAGTGAAAAGGGAATCCTGGTTGGCAATGCCCAGCACCTGGCTCTGAGAGTATTGAAAAGGCGGATCCCGTCAGCAGCTCCACAGATCTGGATAAGGTCCTGGCGAGTAAGCTTCAGCAGATCAGTGCCTGCAAAGTCAGACAGGGCTAGATTAGGGAAAGAGAGGCCAGGATCAAGTGTGGCAAGGGATACAATCCACTGTTAGTCTACAAATAGCCCTAGTATATCCAGACCTGGGAGTCAGACTTGGATTCAAATCCCACCTCTGCCACTGGCTAGCTATGTGCCCTTGGGCAAGTTATTTAGACTCTCTGAGCCCTGTCCTCAGGCGTGATGTATAAATTGTATGAGATAATGCACTAGAGAGCCTAGCAAGCATTGTGCTTTGTCAACAATTAGTTCTAAATAAAAGCTAGTTGAAGGACACAGAGCAAGCCAGGACAGACAGGCTTCCTGCCTGAGGGCCCTCAGTCCCCTCCAGGTCTGGTCCCTACCTGTGGGCCAGATCCCAGCCTCACCAGTGAAATTGGCCAGCACCCGGCAGTAGCTGAAGAACCGGTGCCGATGCAACCACTGCTGTGTCTCTGGGACGGAGGCTCCAGGGTTCAGATCCCGAGGCATAAAGAGTGGTCCAAGTAGCACCATGGACTGAGAACAAGATGGAGGGGAAACATCCCTGCCCTTGGGGGTCCCGAGTCTGAGAAGGGAGGCTCATCCTGCCTGAGGGACATGCCCGATGCCATCAGGCAACCATTTTGCGACCTGTGGCCATACCACATCTGCCCACCAGGGGGCAGGGCCACCCTGTTAGGGAGAAAGATGGAACTGCTGAGAAGGCTTCGAAAGAGTTGGGGGTGGGAGGAAGCCTCACAAGAGCTAGGCTGCCCCTCAAGGTGTCCAAGGGGAATGGTGAGGAGCAGAGGCTGTGGGGGAGCAGGGAGTCTGGCTCAGGGGAGCAGGGTGGCCAGTCTCCTGCCCCCACGTCCCTAGGCCTGTCCTGGTGTCAACCACATGTTCCCCAGAAGCTCCCTCAGCGGCACCCCTGGGCCTGCCTCCTGAGTTGAGGGCTTCTCTCTTCAGTCTCACCCCAGGGGCTGATAGGAGGTGTTTATCCTGCCTCACCTCTCCGGGGACAGGAGCTTGCAGGAGTGGGGAGAGGTCAGAGCAAAAGGGCTCAGAGGTGGGGGGACCCCTGAAATGGGCTCTGGCCACGGTGAACACTGTGGGGCAAACAAACAGCAAGGTTAGCCTGGACGTTCCAGAGTGCCGTGGTGACTGTTGGCAGGCCTTGGGCCAAACTTGGTCCCTGCCTCCGGGAGTCCCTCACAGATCAAATTTCCACACAATGAAGAGTTAAACTAGCCTCAGGTCTGGCTGGGGGAGTCAGGGAAGGCTTCCCGGAGGAGCTACAGCAGCAAGGGAGATGCTCCAGGAAGAGGGAGCAGAAGTCAGGTGGCTGCAACAGCAGGGCACAGAAGAGGCAGCTTGTGAGCGTCAGCTCCTGGGAATCATCAACTACAGGCAGTGCAGTTTGTCCTCGCAGGAAACGGGGAATCACTGGTGTGTATGTGTGGGTGCTGATGATCCTGCAGCAGTCGCAATACCTGAGACCTCTGTTTCCCCACGTGTACAATGAGGATGTTTTCTGCCCCCCGGCCCCCACCGCCCAGCACACATACCTCCATGAAGACGGTGCTGTCACAGGCTGTCTGATACTTGTTTCTCTCATGCACAGGCTGTTTCTCAATCTTCTCCCGGTCAGTTTTCAGTTTCCGGTCAGCTCCTTTGGGCTACAGTGGGGTAACAAGGAAGCATCAGAGCTCCCCTCCTTACCTGCCCACTTCTCATGACAGGAAGGGCTCTGAGAAAGAGACCAATCCCCACCCCTCTGTGTCCAGAGAAGGAAACAGTCCCAGGTACAGGGCCTGCAGGCTGAGTGAGGGTCCACCGCAAAGCCAAGTCAGATCCACACGGCCAGCAAGGCAGGCCCTGAGAGGGACGGAGGGGAAGTCAGATCCACACGGCCAGCAAGGCAGGCCCTGAGAGGGACGGAGGCCAAGTCAGATCCACACGGCCAGCAAGGCAGGCCCTGAGAGGGACGGAGGGGAAGTCAGATCCACACGGCCAGCAAGGCAGGCCCTGAGAGGGACGGAGGGGAAAGGGCCCCGAGCTGCCCGTACCTTAAACACCTTGACGAGGCAGCCCGCTGAGTGCAGGTGCTCCAGCGGAAGCTCCTTATCACTGGGCTTGAAAGTGTCGGTCTGGAGGCGAAAGGGGACGCCTTTCTCCCCACCTTTTTTCTGAGGAGTGAACTCAGTGCTGGTGCAGTGAACCTGAGGTGGAAAAGAAGGTGACTCTATCTAGGTCCCGCCCACACTCAAGGGATCTCACCTGAAACCTGTTACCTGTCTGCCACCTGTCAGCCACAGCAACTTTCCATCCCCAACCAGTGTCTATTCTTAAGGCATACCTTATTAGGTTCTTTCCCTGGTTCAAAATCCCTCAGTGGCTCCTCAGGACTATGAGATGAGAAGCAAAGTCCCTGACCGTGGCATTCAGGCACCTTAAAGAGACAAGTCAAACCTTTTTGCCTGTCTGCTCTCTCTTTCTCACATCGATGAACCCAATGACCCACCCATCTAGCCTACTCACCACTCCAATACACCTGCAGAGCTGTCCCTTGAGTCTCTACTGGGAAAGCTCCCTCTGCTCACACTTGAGCCCATACATTCCATTCCAGGGTAGAGTTACCAGTTCAAAGTTTATCTAAATTTGAGTGTCCTGTATTTTATTTGCTAAATCTAGCAGTCTGCTCTAGGAAGCTTTCCTGACCTGTACAACCACTGTAGCCTTCCCGCAACCTTGTGAAGAACAGCTAATGAATCTAACTTTACAGGTAGGGAAGCTGAGACTCATAGAGATTACATTACCCGGGCAAGGTTCATGCCAAGAAGTGGTGGAACTGAAATTGTGCCATATCCACCTGGCTCCTCGTCTAGGTGCTTAGAGTACAGAGGACATTCAAAAAGGGACTTATAGGTGAATTTTGACAATATTTTTTCTTATAAAAGGAAATATATTCAACATAGAAAATGCAGGGGGGCTTCCCTGGTAGCTCAGCTGGTAAAGAATCCACCTGCAATGCAGGAGACCCCAGTTCAAACCCTGAGTCGGGAGCATCCCATGTAGAAGGGATAGGCTACCCACTCCAGTATTCTTGTGCTTCTCTGGTGGCTCAGAGGGTAAAGAATCTGCCTGCAATGTGGAAGACCTGGGTTCAATCCCTGGGTTGGGCGTGGCAACCCACTCCAGTATTCTTGCCTGGCAGGCTACACAGTTCATCGGGTCTGAAAGAATCAGGACTGAGCAATGAAGTACAGTACAGCACTGAAAAAGTACAAAGGATACGGGCATCTCCATCACCTCACCTCTCAGAGACAGGCGCACACACTTGCCTGACATCTGTACTCGCCTGACAGTACTTGTTAACATTCAAGTTTTGTTCCTGTCTTTTCTCTGGGCAAGAATAAAACACAACTTTTATATACACACACACTTTTATTTTTGCAAAATAGGCATCAAACATTAAATACAGGTCTACATTCTGCCTTTACGTACGGGAAAGCAGTTTCTCTTTGTCATGAAATATTTCTAAGACATCATTTTAATGGCTACACAATTTCCATTACAAACGACTAAACACTTATTTCAAAGTCCACCCTTATGTGATGGACATTTTGATTAATATCTTTTAATAGAAAAAATGGCAGGGGTAAAAAAAAAATGGCAGGGGTATTTATTATGGTACTTATTCAACACTGCTTTTCTTGAGGTGGAAAATGAAGGAAAATGAGTATGAACATTAAATTTAATAAAATTTGCCCACGTACCTACAAAATGGATGCACCAATTTGCATTCTTGAGATATGAGGTTGTCTGTTTCTCTAAAGCTTACCAATAATAAAAGTCTTTGCCAGTGTATATGTGTGTGTGTGTGTGTAAATATATATATATATATATATATATAGTTTGTTGTTTAATTGCCAAGTCATGTCTGACTCTTTGCGATGCATAGACTGTAGCCCGCCACTCCTCTGTCCATGGGATTTCCCAGGCTAGAATACTGGAGTGGATTGCCATTTTCTTCTCCAGGGGATAGTCCCAACCCAGGGATTGAAGGCATATCTCCTGCATTGACAGGTGGATTCTTTACCACTGAACCACCAGGGAAGCCGTGTGTGCATGTGTGTGTGTACATATATACATGTAGTTTTAATTAGCATTATTAACGTTTTGTGAGTTTGAACTGTCTACATTTATTAGCAATTTGTATCCTTCTTTATCAATTGCTTATATCTTTTGCCCATTTTTGTATTGAGCTTTCATCTACTTTTTCTTTTTAATGTATGAGCACTTTTTATATATTTAAAATATAACACTATATATGTTATATGTGGCAAGCATTTTTCCCAGTTGATGTCTCCTTTTAATTTTGCCCATACTTTGCAGACCATTACTTTCCATGAAGCTAAATTCTGTCCTATGTTTTGTCATTTCTTCCATCACCTTGATGTTTGACAAGTCCTTCCTTATGGTGACATTCAATCAACATTTGTCCACCTTTGTTCCTCACAGTGCTTTCTGGAAGTGATTCATTCTTATTACCTCCTCTGACCTCCATCCAAGCTCACCTTCCTTTCGCATATAGGCTGCTGCCACCCCCATCTGACCTCCAGCCTCCTTTCTGTCCCAGCTTCAGACTCACCTGCAGGAAGAGAGAGGTCCTCTTGGTCGGGTCCCAATAAAACTCCACGGTGTTCAGTTGTGAGGGCAGCACTTGGGGTTCCAGCACCCCCACGGACAGTGGGATATCTGCAGGCACAGATTGGCAGGCAGGGAGCAGGACTCAGCACCACCACCCCTCATCCACAGGGGCCTCTAAGCCAGACAGCAGCCCTGAAGGGCCCTGGTCCCTCCCCATTCACCTATGTCCAGGATGCGGTCCCCAGGCCGGCTCCACCTCCGCCCGTCCAGCTGTTGCTGCTCTGTGTACTGCAGGCGCCGGTCGTGGAAAACCACACGCACCACGTTCTGTGGGCACAGGACAGGGCCGGGGCATTTGGGAACCAGCTACCACCTCTGGAACAGGTCAACCTTTCCAGCCTCTCCCTTACCTTTCCTCCCACACCCAGGGGGCAAAAGGACTTAGAATAACTAGATCTGTGTCCAGATGCCACCTGCCATTCAACAAGTGGTGAAACTGAGGAAGTAACCTAGAGCCTCAGTTTCCTCATCTGTAAAATGGAGGAGTTAATCACTTTGCACTCAGTCACTCTTTCTTCGAAGCACTTAGCAGTTTGCAATTTGTAAATCAACTTGTAATCATATCTAAATTGTTCAATGACATGTTTGTCTCAGTAGAACACAAGTCCCCTGAGGAAGGAAGCCACATCTGTCTCTTTACCCGTGAATCTCTAGTGCATAGAACAGTTTCTGGCAAAGAATGGGAGCTAAATAAAAACTTTTTTTTTTCCTGAGAGATGGAATCATGTGTGTGAATAATGCTATGTTAATGTATTTCTAAATCCTGGTTCTGCTACTTACTGGCTCTGTGTCCTTGAGAAAATACTTCACCTCACTGTGCCTGTTTCCTCAACAATTCCCGCCACCACCAAGCTGTTGTGAAGGTCAAATGAAAAGGTGGACTTGAGAGGGCTCTACTTGAGAATGACATCACCGTGATGACACTGGCTTCCTGCCAGAGGGATAGTCATAGCCAGCCTTTGCCAGGTCTGGGAGTGGAGGCACTTGCCTTCAGCAGCCGGGGCTCCTGGGTGGCATCAACCAGTTCGGGGTTGCAGAGCATCCGTACCTCATAGGACTGGCCTAGGAGAAATTGAGAGGAAGTGAGCACCCCTCTCTGGGGGGCAGAGAGGCTGCCTGCCACCCGCAGCCCACCCCGGGTCCAGCCTCCCGCTAGCACCCTCCATCCCCAGGCCCATCGCACCCTGGTTCAGGTAGGTGAGGGTCTCCTCCTGCTGCTTCACGGCCAGCGAGGTGGCTGCACAGAGCACGTACTGGAACGCGGGGCAGGGCTACTCCGCTCTGGGATGTTGGCCAGCTCTTCCTGCTTGAGACAGGGGAAGGGCAAGGCCTCCCTGCCAGGAAGAGGAAGGCACTGCTGGCTTCTGCCCTGTCCACCCCCTCCTCCAAGAGGCTTTGACTCTTTCTGCCACATTCTCCCTCCAGGGAGCCTACAGTTTGCTGAAGCAGGTACCCCTGCAGCAGCCAGGGCCTAAGGGGTCCCCATTCCACTCCTCTGGCCTCCAGCCGACCTCCCTTCAGGTGCAAATCCCCAACACTACAATATTTGCAAACATCTGCCATCAATTACTTATTTGCATCCTCAAGGCTTGCTTGACAGCCAGTGACTGCCCAACATGTGTCCTGAGCAGGTGAGTGGTTAGGGTGTTTTGAGATGTCCTGGGACCCACTAAATTCCAGGTACATCTGACCATTTCCCAGTGGGTTCGCAGTGAGTTGGATATGACTGAGCACGCACGCACTGACCAACCACCCCCCAAGAACAGGAAACCCATAATCTTCGGCTTGAAACAGATGGCCCTACCACGTCCATCACAACTCAGACCCGTGCCTTCCTCGGGGACCGGAGGGAGGGGTTCTGACCCTTACCTGAGCAAGCTGCGTAGTGGCCCAGGGTACAGCTCCCCGGGGCTCGGCCACAGGTGCTCCGGCTGGTTGTGCCAAAACAGCATCTTGGAGAGACAGCAGGACCAGCTGTGTTGCAGGGAGCACAGCACTGGGTTGGGCTGGACACCCTGGGCCATCCAGCTGGGGCCCCAGGCTTTATACACAGGCAGGGAAAGACGGAAGGGTGGGGCAAGGCTTCGGCCCCTTATTGGCTGAGCAATCAGGGCTCCAGGAAATTCAGGACCTGTTAGGCAGCCCTAGCTGAGGGGGAAGGGAGAAATGATGTCCCTAGGGCTCCACACCAATCATTAATTCAAAGAGGAAACAGTCGTGCAGCAAGACCAGTCACAGGGATGGATATCCACTAACCCCACCTTCACCGTTCCCCAAGAGGCCCAGGAACCATGAGTGGCGCCCTGGGGCTAAGAGATTAGCTCCAGATAAGTAAACCAAGTTAACTCCCGGAGACCACCTGCCTGGACCCCTCACAGGATGCTATGGGGGCTGGGAGACTGACTGCTCCAGGGGACAGGACAAACAGACACACAGCATCATGTGGACCTACAAAGGGCCTTTGCTCCCCTGGCCTCCCCCCAGCCACCCCCCATATAGGGGCAGTGATGGCCCAACATCTGCCCTGTCACTGGGGGCTGCCTGGCTAGGGGCCTGGAGTTTACAGAATATAGTCCAGCTTGCTCTGGAAACAACTCAGAGGGTGGTGATGGGAGGGAGAGCAACCTAAGACTTCAAGACTCACCCATTGCCCAAAGCTGGATTCAAGGCCAGAAGGCCCCCCCATGGGACTCTCCAAGGTTGGACAGAGCAAGATTCCAAGAAGGACAGAGGAAGGGGCTACGAAGGGTCAGGAGGCAGGGTGTGGCCCTGGTCTGGGTGGATCAGGATGAGGGAGCGGCAGTGTGGCAGAGGGAAGGTGGAGGTGGTGGGAGGAGGCTTGTTACAGAGGACGGAAGTAGAAAAAGCTGAGACCGGTGTGGGCCCTTCAGAGGACACCACCAAGAGCTGGTCTGGGGAGGGGGGCTGCGCCACAGGCATGCAGTATCTTAATCCCCCCTCAAGCGATGGAACCCACGAGCACTGTAATGGAAGCCTTCGCTGGACCGCCAGAGAAGTCCCAAAGCATGATATATTTTTTTTAAGGTGGATTTTTTTTCACATCCAAACAGCTCTATCATTGTCTAGGCATGGCATAACTCGATCCTAATAATACCCTTGGGGTTATTCCTTACCCTAAGCCAAGGAAGTAACTTTTTTTTTGGTAAAAATTGCTAAGGAATAATTCACCATCCTTCTCCTCTAACCAAAATTTGTTGTTTTGTTTCATCTTTTATCCCAGGCAACATTTTAACCTGGAGAGTTAAGAGTGTGAAGTCTACCGCTCCCTCAGAGGAAGAGGGGCTGAGAGGAGTGTTCCTCATCCATTCATTGAACCTACCCAGTAGTAGTAAGTGAAAGTTGCTCAGTTGAGTCTGACTCTTTGAGACCCCATGGACTGTAGACTGCTTAGCTCTTCTGTCCATGGAACTCTCCAGGCCAGAATACTGGAGTGGATAGCTGTTCCCTTCTCCAGGGACTCTTCCTGACCCAGGAATCGAATCGGGGTCTCCTGCATTGCAAATGGATTCTTTACCAGCTGAGCTACAGTTATAGGCCAGTAGTAGTAGGGGGATTCCTTTTCCCAACAAACTGAGGCTTCTAGGTGCGCAACTCCATAAGGTATCATACTAAACAGCAGCCCCTAGAGTTTGAGGATGCACAGACCTGTCTTTGAGCCCCCAGTCTTGTATTCCTGAGAGTTCGTCTCACCATCAGGAAGTCTCACGTTGGAAAGGTACTCGGTTCATGTTTCAAAGTTACCGCCTCCTTTTTTTTTTTTAATAATATATATTAAAATTATTTATTTATTTTTGGCTGCACTTTGTTTCTGGGCGTGGGCTTTCTCTAGTTGTGGAGAGTGGGGACTACTCTTAGTTGCAATGCGCAAGCTTTTGGCACTGAGGCTTAGTTGCCCCTCGGCATGAATCATGTCCCCTGCACTGGCACATGGATTCTGAACCCTCGACCACCAAGGGAGTCCACTGCCTCCTTCTTAAAACCCTCTGCCACCTAGCCGGTTGGCATTTATGTTCTCCATGTGTCTCAGCTCTTCACCAAATTCCTTCACAGCAGTCATCTGACATGCAGTTTATTCTTTGTTCACTTTGCTTAAAGTCTATTTTCTCATCAGAGTGGAAGTCCCTTGAAAGTAGAAACTAAGAGGTGGGTTAGTGTTTAGGTTTAAGAGTATGTTTCTCGAGATAGACCCTGAGTGCAAGCACAGCTGAGTGGCTTTGGGCAAGAAACTAAACTTTTCTGAGGTTCATGCTGCAACTATAAAAAGGGGATGATGAGAATGTCTACCCCACAGGGCTAGGTAATAATGAATGAGGTAATAATTGAGCCCTCAGTAATGTAGGTATCTTTTTATTTGTTTATTTATTGTGGCCGCACTGCACAGTGTGTGGGATCAGGATATCTCAAGTCCCTGACCAGGGACAGAACCCACATCACTGCAGTGGAAATGGGGCATCTTAACCAATGGACTGCCAGCAAAGTCCCAATATAGATGTCCTTTTCTCTATATATTTCCAGTGCCTAGTCCATTATACAGGTTAATTTATTTAACACTTGAAAGTGTAGGTTTATTTATATAACACATAAATGTAGAGGGTCTGTTTATTTAACAAACAGTTCTTTAGTGCTCAGTGTGACTTAGAGTGCTTTTCCATCTACCTTCTAAGATAAATGCTATTTTTTCCCTATTATTCTATTATCACTGCCTCCCTCCCCCCAATTATACAGATGGGGAAACTGAGGCTCCAAGAGATTAAGAGGCTACCTCAAGGTCACGCAGCTAAGACAAGACACAGCCAGGGTTTGAACCCAGGCTGCCTGAACTACAACCTTTTCTCCTAATGACTGTACTGTATGACACATTCTGCCTGACAAATGTGTATGGAATTATGAAACGAGTCTCCAAGCAACATTCCAACTTGAGAAGCTGGAGAGTAAAGTCTACACCCCCTCCTGCAAAGAAAGGGGCTGATTTGGGGATTTGAATGATTCATGTATTCATTTATTCAACAGTTCTCAAAGGAGTATTGGACCCCGGAACCTGGATTCTGATGAGAGGAGGGACCTCTGATCTTTCTGAGCTTTCTGACCTCTCCAGCTGCAAAATGGGGACAAAATACTTTCTGTTCTACTTCTGGGCCATGAGCTCTGAGGATGGGCAAATATGAATGATAGTGGCTGGCTGCTGCAGTTGGTTTTGTAGATGGGGGTGGGAGGGCTGATGATGGCAGAGAGACAGGATACAAGATTTTGATTTCCTCAGGATGTGTCTATGACTTGAGAATTCCCTTGGGATGAGTAGCAGTGAAGGCTGCAAGGGAACAGCTTTTCTGGGGTATTTGATCTTCCAGGTCCCACTGCATGTTATAACCACCTCTTGAGGTAAGAAGGTCCCGATTACAGTCTGTGCAATTTGCCCAAAGTTATTAGCTAGTGGCCACCTGATGTGAAGAACTACTCATTGGGAAAGACCCTGATGCTGGGAAAGATTCGAAGGCAGGAGGAGAAGGGGACGACAGAGGATGAGATGGCATCACCGACTCGATGGACGTGAGTTTGGGCAAGCTCCGGGAGTTGGTGATGGACAGGGAAGCCTGGAGCATGTGCTGTAGTCCATGGAGTTGCAAAGAATTGGACACGACTGAGCAACTGAACTGAACTGATTAGCTAGTGAAAGTGGGCTGGACCCTGAGTCACCTCACTGCCATGCACCCAGGCCAAAACAAGACTTGTTCCTGGCTATCCTCTTAGAAGGCTCTCAGCCCACTACTCTGGCTCTATTTCCGTGTTGCTGCCCCTGAGAGCCAGGGAGATCTTCCTACGACACAAGAATGACCATACCATTGTCACTCACGGTGCCATTCTCAAGCTGGGCTATGAAAATCCCTGGGTAAACATGCCCATCTTCCAGGCATCGGTGATAACCACAGTGGTACATAGTGGTTAATGCTTAAAATCATTTTTAAAAATTTTTGGCTGTGCTGGGTCTTCATCATCACTCAGGCTTTCTCTAGCTTCGATGTATGGGCTTAGTTGCCTCATGGCATGTGGGATCTTAGCTCTGCCACCAGGGATTGAACCGGAGTTCCCTGCATTGGAAGGTGGATTCTTAACCAATAGACCATCAGGGAAAGTCCCTAAAATCATTTTTTAGTGGGAAAACTAATATGGATATTCTTGGAGTCAAAAGCAAGGTTTGCACAAACATTTAATATAGAGCCATGTCTTTACATTCCTTTCCAGTTTTGAGTGAACCACTTTGCCCACCTTCTCCCTCCTCATGCCCCATGGTACCCCCGGATTGTTCACCTGGATTCCCATGAGTGAGTCTGAGCAGCCTGTTTGTGCAGGAAAACCCATCTTCCTGGCCCAGCATCCACAGCCACTGGTCCACTTTCTTCTGCCTTTCCCTTTCACCACTCCCCCTCTCCCTTGCTTACAGTCCCACAGCTTCCAGAACAGTCTGTTCTATTTCACACCTGGGCTTTGCCCAGGCTGTTCCCTCTGCCTTCCAGCCCTCTTGATGGCCTCCGTCAGCTCAGCTCAAGGCACATCTCCGTCCCCACTTCTCCCTACCCCCAAGTCTGTTCAGAGGGACCCCCTGTATTGTTAGCACTCTCTGGGTCAGGATTTACAAGAGGGCTTCAAATGCAGTAAACAGGCACCCCCGGAACCCAAAGCCCCTCTAGACACTTAGTAGGACCCCATGGTTTAGATGTTGCAAATGTAGACTCTTAAAGGCCCACCTATACTTGCTAAATTGCTTCAGTCATGTCTGGCTCTTGGTGACCCTATGGACTGTAGCCTGCCAGGCTCTGCTATCCATGGGATTATCCTAGCAAGAGTACTGGAGTGGGTTGCCATTTCCTCCTCCAGGGGATCTTCCCGACGCAGTGATCGAACCTGCCTCACTTGGGTCTCCAGCAATGACAAGCGGGGTTCTTTTACCACTGGCGCCCCCTGGGAAGCCCACCTACACACACACTCCTACCCGAAAGATATCCAGTGCTGTTTTCTATGTAGCCTGCAGGGGGCGGTGTGAGTCCAGGCTGGCCCCAGGAACTCTAGCTGCTGTTTCAACAGTCTAGACACCCAGCCCGAAAATCTCTGCCCAGGAGGAGTTAAGGAGCTAAACACTAAGGGAGGAGTTTCAGGCGGGCCCCATCCTGCCTGCCTCAACCTCTCTTTAACATCATCACCCTCTTGTGTCTCTCACTTAAGAAAGTCAGTCACCCTCACCTCTAACACCCGGATCCAGTTCCTCCCAGACTTCATCCTCCCTCTTTCCCACCAGCTCTCAGTAGCAGTCTGCACTCCAGTCTGTGCCCAGGGCCCCTCTGCAGCAAAAGATCCTCCCTTAAGAGTTTGGAGACCTTCAGTGATCACAGCCCCACCCCGTCCACTGGGCTCCACCTCTTTGCTCACCCGAAAGTGATGACATTGCTGTTGCCTTGGTAACAGATGCTTTGTGGGTGGGTATGGGGAGACTTCAGGACATCAGAGGCATGGGGGAGGGGAGTGGGCAAACTGGCATAAGGCCGGGGAGGGGCAGCCAGGGGTTATGACTTCCCCACCACAGGCTGCCATCAGACTTACGTCCCCAGCCTCAAGGAGAATAGAAGGGGCATCTCCTTGGAAAGAGAGGCTTTCTTATTGGAGGAGGGGGAAACATCCCCCTCCCGTGAAAACAGGTCTCCGGGACAGTTCAGCCTGGTGGGGTGGGGGAGGGGCTGCACACACTGGAGCCCATGTTGTGCCCCTCCAGGGAGCCTGAGGCACAGAGAGAGGGGGCTGCTCACTCAGGGCGTGTTAGGGACAGTGCCATAGGCAGTGGAAGGGTGGCTCTATGCCAGTGTCCCGAGCTCCAAGGGGTGGAGAGGCCCTCCTCCAGGCCCTGGGGACCTTGCTGTCCCAGAAGCCACAGCCAGGAAGTGTGTCAGGCACTTGCGTAAGAGCCTTCTATATTTCCATAAAATCAAAATTACCGATGCCTGCCACGGGCCTTAGCTCATTAGAGCGGCATCTGCCTCTGGGGCCCATGGGGTGGGCTGGCGGGGGGACGTGAGGGAGATGGGACAAGGCCAGGCCTCTCACTGTGTTCTCTGCATTCCCAGCCCTGCTGAGCCTGGGCACTCTTCCTCTCCCAGCTGGGAGATGAGAACCCAGGCTTGGCCTCAACCATGACAAACTCCCCAACGTGGGAACCCCGATTCTAAAGCTGGAGGGAAAGGCAAGCCACTCATGTGCTCAGCTTGGGCTGTCCTTGACAACCCATGAGGGCAGAGGCCAAAGCAGGGAGGGGCTTGAACTGAAGGTGTTTACGGGAGAAAATAGGTCAGTCCTCATGGAACAGTGGTCAAAGAATCTCAACCCCTAGTGGAGGGCCCTGGCGTCATTCCGGCCAGTGATTCTTAATCTTGGGGGATCTTAGATTCTCTGAGGCGCAGAGGAAAGCTCTGGACTCTCCTCCAGAAAGCGCTTATCCTCCAGAATTTGATACAACTTTGAGGGGTTCATGAACTCCCTGAAACTCACCTACAAACCCAAGGTTAATAAGAATCCTTAAAGTTTTAAAAAAAATATAATAGTAACTATCAAGTACTTACTCTGTCCAATTCTTTACATATATTAACTTACATAATCCTCAAAAGAACATTAAGAGATAGACAATTATCCTCCCCATTTAATCCAACTCCCCATTTCAAAATGATCTAGTCCAATTCATCCAATCTGAAGAGAAAGAAACTGAAGACCCTCCAGAGATGACGGACAGCTCTCTGCCCAAGATCACAGAGTAGGAAAAAAGGGCAAGGGCAGACCGGGGTGAGGACCAGGTTCTCTTAGTGCTGGACCTTGGCCATATGCAGATTTGAAGTCATCTGTCCATCCCATCATCCCCAGGCTCCCAAGAGCCCAGCAGCTGTGCTCATTCACCCAGCTCTCCTAGTAAGAGGCCTCCTGGTAGTTCTATTATGACTTCCAGTCTGAGAGCCCTTTTGAGAGAGTGACTGCCACTCATCCTCCTGGAATGCCTTGCCCCTTGCTCCACCCACCCCTCATTTCTGCCCTCCAAATCTAAGATGGACTGTGTGCCCCCAAGAGAAGCCAGCACCGTTGCTCCCTCCCCAGCTCTGAGCCACTGCAGTGGGAATTGTCAGCACTGAGACAATGACTCAGACTTAGTTCATGAAAGATCGCCCTGAAACACGAAGGCTGTCGGCCAGAAAGGACATCCAGAGGTCATGGGACCCAGCCCCCTGCCTCCTCCATATTTGCTCTACCTTAGGCTTTTATTGCTGAGACCAGATGGGCCCCAGAGCCCACCGACTTCCCTGCCTTTCCTTGGTCCCCCATATCACTGATTCCCCTAGGAATTCTTTCCCAAGTCTAGCCAGGGTCTCCTTCTGGGTTAGTTCTTCCATGACATAACAGGCTCCAAACAGCCAAGGAAACTGAGGAAAGGAAGTTGTTTCTTCTCTCTGCCTCAGAAAAAGACCTAGGAAGAGACAAGTCCCCCAGAAAAATGGAGAGAAAGAAGAAAATGAAAACTTTCTGTGTCTGTCTTTCCTAGGCTAAGTGGTATATTGCACTATCTCATTCATCCTCTGAACAATTGGGTGGGCAGAGTCTCCGTTTCGCTGATGAAGAAATCAAAGCTTTAATAGTTACCTACCCAAGGCCGAGCGAATTAGTGACTACCCAGTTACTGGACTTGAAGGAAGCCAGAGCCTCAGTTCTTTGGAGAGGAAATAGAGGTACCTTCCTGGTGGCTCAGATAGTAAAGAATCTGCCTGCAATGCAGGAGACCCGGGTTCAATTCCTGGGTTGGGAAGATCCCCTGAAGAAGGAAATGGCATCCCATTCCAGTATTCTTGCCTGAAGAATTCCATGGACAGATCAGCCTGACAGGCTATCGTCCATGGGGGTCACAAAGAGTTGGTCACAACTGAGCAACTAACACACACAGAGGTACATACATGCCTCAGGAGGTCTCCAAACATAGAAGAAGTCCCTGTTTGTTCCAGCTGAAGAGTGCTAGAGATAGAGGCCTGATGATACCATCTCAGGGTGCTCCAAGCATTCCTTAGTCTGAGTTGCCTAGGGAGGGGTTTATTGGGCTGACCTGTGCTGGACTGGAGGGAAGTTAGATGGTGGCCCTCAGAGGGGAACAGGAGAGGCTGATCACAAATGGGCTTTTGGGGAAACTGGACTGAGGGCTGAGGTCAGCTTCTATGGAAACTCCTTTTAGGAAGGCGAGCACTCAGAGAGTCTGCTGTTTGTGGATCTGGAGGGGGAGGAGACTAAGCCCCCATAACCACAAACCCGCCCGTCTGCCCTTGTCCTACTTCTGCCACTGGCAAATAAATCTCTTTCCCTCGATGCTGTAACCTGAGCAGTGCTCCAACTCCAATGTGAGCTCATCTTGAGGAAGCAAGAGATCATGTGAATGGCTGTGTGCATGGGTGGGTGGGAAGGAGGGACACAGGGTTCAGACCCTCCTCCAGGGCTGGCATAAAGGCAGGACCCTTCTGAGTGCCACCCACTCCTCATCTCATCACCCGCAGCAGATGAGGAGGAAGGAGACTTAGACCCAGAAGTCTCTCCACCCACACCCAGGGGAGGATTCTCTCAATCTCCAACCTCCCTCCATTTTCTTGGACAGGCCCAGAGATGAAGGGCCAGAAGGGCCAGGAAGGGAGAGCAGAGACGTTGAGGAAATGGCAGGTGAGCGACATGCATTAGCAGAGGTAGCTTCAGGTCAAGTGGACAGAAGACTCTTTGGAGGGTCCACCTCTCCCTACCCCCATCTAACTTCACTTGTGGTAGGATCTTTAGGAGGGGGAGTGTCTTGGAGAGGTTTGGGGACCTCAAGTGTGGGGACTGAGGCCTCTTCTCTGCTGAAGTCCAGACAACAGGATTGGAAGGCCATGTCATTGTCCTGCTTTCCAGGACAGGGCTGGCTTTTGACACATGGTGTTAAATTGTCCATACTCTGCAGAAGAAACCCCTACCGCACAGTTCAAGGATGTGTACATTTGGAGAGAATGTCTATAGGGCAGAGACATCCAGTTAATGAGGTGGAAGAGTCCCCATTCTTCACTCTCAGGAAGTCCTACCTTCATCTCATTCTCAGTTCTCCTTCTGCAGTTCCAACCTATTTCTATCCTCTCTAACCCTTCCAGACTCGAATATGATCTCCTGAACCTTCCTTCAACCTTGTCATGCCCCCCCCCACCCCCATTCCGGATTTTTCAGTGTGGAACTGTCCCCTCCACTTCTTTATCCTCCAAGCTCCTCCCCATCTTGTCGAGCCCCCCCCAAGCTCCGCCCAGCTCGCCCTCCTGGCCACCACGGCAGCCAATAGCTTAGAGCCTGATTTGCATAGCGGCGCGGGGGAGAGGCAGAGGGAAGGGGGAGGGACCAGGCGACCTCCTAAATCAAAGTTAGGAAGCGAGGACTGGGCGGAGGGGCCGCCGGGTGCCCGGCTGGGGCCGGCGGGGGGAGACTCTGAGCAGCATCTTCTTCAGACCCTTGATCCTCATTCCTGGGGTCATCCTGCTCCCTCGGCTCCGTATAATTGCCTCCTCTCACCCACCAACCCAGGAACTTTCTCCGCCCGCACCCGGGAGTGGGGGTTGCTTTGCCCGGGCGGGTTTCTCCAGGGGTTCACTGGGTTGGGGGGCTGTCTCTAAGGGCTTCAGGTCCCGGAAAGACGCCTACCACCGTTAGCCTGCTTCCAGGTGGGCTGCCGTCGGGTCTCGGCACCCTCTCTTCCCGTCTTCCCTAACCATGACCGAAATGAGCGAGAAGGAGAACGAACCGGATGACGCGGCCACTCACACCCCCCCGGGGACCGTCTCTGCCCTCCAAGAAACCAAGGTAACTCGAGAGGCGCGAGGCCTGGACCCCTGCCCTGAGCGCCCCCAGCCGGGGCATCCTCCTCCCGACTCAGTTACCACTGTGGCCTCTGGTGCCCTGAAGTCACCGAAGGGCCCGTGTGGCCCCTAACGCTCCGCGCGGCGATCCAGGAGCCGTAGGTTCGGATGAGGGACCGCAAACAGCTCCCATCACTCAAACACGACACGCCCTTGCGCGCGTGATGAGCGGAGCTCCCCCGCGACCCTCCAGGGAGGTTGTAACTCGGCTTTGCTGGAGGGAGTCGGCGCAGCGAAAGCGGAGGGAGTGTGTAGCGGTGTGTAGCGGGTGTGGGCCGGTGTACGCGCCCGAGTGTGCGCGCCAGGCGCACCTCTCCTGTGTCCGCCGGGTCTCCGCCTGTAGCTCAGTCCCTCTCTCTCTGCCCGTGTCTCTCTGAACGTGTCTCTACAACCTGTTTGTCTCTGTCTTAGTGTCTCTGTGCGTCTCTCTCGGGTTCTCTGCGTGTTTATCTCAGAGTCTCTAGATGGCTCTCTCTGACCCGCCGCAGTCCGACATTCCCTCCTCCCAGCCCGGTTAGGCTCGGCGACGTGAGCCCGCTTCCCCGGGGTGCGCAGCTTCCGAGTTCGCGCTGGGGGTTGCGGCAGCGCGGGCCATCACGGGCGGGGACCCACGGACTGTCGTTGCGGCTCCGGAACAGAAAGACAGGCAGCCCCACCCCCACCCTGCCAGCGGGACGGGGGCTGGGTGGTAGTGGGGCCGTGGGGAGCGGGTAGAAGCAAAAAGAGAAGTCATCATAATTAATGAATGTCATAATTAACCCTAATTATGTATGATTGTTACTCCTGCGGGAGTCACAATGAATAAATTATTCCCCAGTGAAGTCAGGCGCAGCCCAGACTCCAGCCCCTGCCCCCCCCCACTCGGAGAACACAGCAGGGCTCACATTCTGCAACCCCCACCTCGAATCTGTCTACTGCCTCCCCAAGTTCTAGATACTGACCAACAAGAAGTTCTGCGGGAAGCAACCTGAGCAGGGTTCCTGGGGATGGGGAGAGTAGGGGCAGTGCTCTCTGCCCCCTCCCTAGACTTCAGGCCAAGGTTACCCTTTCCTTTCCACCCTGGTAAATGGTTCCCACTTGGCTTCTGTTACCCAGATGAGGAGGGTGGCAGCGGGACCAGAAATGGGTGGCATCCTTGGCTCCCTCTGGTATCACTAGTTCATCTATAGCTATTTCCCATGCCCATCCTCCTCCTAATTCTGTCTGGACTACTTCCCAGGATATGAGGTTAATTCAAGGTCAAGGTCATCCAGGGAATGACCAAGGAAAGATGAGTAGGGCCAAAGTGGATGGAGTCTGGCCGAGGCACCCCAGCTAGGCGTCCCATCCCTAAACCGGAGGGACCCAGTGGGTCTCCATGTCCAAGACTTCAGATTCACACTTGAGCTTCTCCCGCTCCCTTCTGAGAACTGGAAACCTTGGGCTCTCAGACCACAGAGTTAACTCCCCTTCAGACAGTCAGGTCTACTGGGAGAGGAATGAGGTGTTGAGGTGGGAGGGTATTGCTTGAAATAACAGTGACAGCTTCTTTAAAGCAGAGGGTCCCAGAAACAGAGCCCCATTCTGAGTTCCAGAATGAACTCAGTTTCCTGGCCTCAGTTATCTTCTAATCACCCTGAACAGACACATGCAGTCTCCCTGCTTGCTTCCCAGGGCATTGGAGGCCTCTCAGGTTTCCCACACCATGGCCTGGCCACTCCGCCCCCTCCTTAAGCGCTTTCTGAAGGCAGGCAGGAGTGCTGGGCAGCGCTGCCTCAGCAATCAGCAGTGCAGCTGTGTGGGGAGGGGGCTGTCAGGGCCTGGCACGTCTGCAGCTCCTTCCTCCCAGCCCAAGGACCATCTCATTCCATCACCTCTGGATCTGAGCCATGGGGATCTGAGGAGCAGGGAAGGAAGGGAGTGTGCACGTGGCCTGGTCCCTCTGTACCAGGTCAGTTGGATCCCTGCCCCTTTGCCCGCCTTCCTATACCTCACTTATGAAGGGCTCCGTAATAACAACGCGGGCTGGGGTTCGGGTCTTGGGGGAAGGTACTCAGGAGAGCAGAGGTGGGCAGAGAGAATTCAGAACCATTGCCAGCCTCCTTCCATCCCCCCATCTCAACTTGTCCCAAGAAAGCTTCTGTCTTCAGGCTGTGGGGGTGGAGGGGAAGGAAGGGAGAGGGTTGGTTGCTGCCTACCCAGCTCAGTTTGAGGCAGGTACAAGAGGAAGCTGGTGCCTGTTAGGCAGTGAAGCCAACATTCCAGACTTATTTATCAGTGTTTGGGGGCCCCTGGGAATTTCTTGCAGCCCAAGTTTAGCCTCCTGCCCTCTGTAAGGTTGGGTGTCACTCCTAAACCTAAGGTACTCAGTGAGTTTCCTAGTGTCAGCATTACCCTCTCTGGGTCCCCATCCCATCCTACTTCATGGGGTCTGCCATCACCCCCTCTGGTGCCATTCCTGGGAAGACCTTGCCATGCCAGCTCTGCCATCTGAGTTAGCTTGTGTCACATCTGCCACCCCCTCTGCCAGTTGCCTAATACCTCTTCAGGAGCTGGGAACCGAGGGAAGGAAGGACCATCCAAGGTGTGGAGAGGTGGGGAGGAGGCAGGCAGGCCAGGCCCTGCCTCCTAGAGGGGACTCAGAATGACAGGCCTGGTGGTCCAGGCTCCAAGCCAGACAAGCTCCTGGTGCATTGGCAGTGATTGGGTGGGAGGTGGGGAGGAGGTGGGATGCAGATGTGCCCATTTGCCAGGGTATATGGCAACTTCTCGTGTCAGGGAATGGGTCCTGGGACAGTAGGGGCACCAAAAAGATAGTAGTGGGGAGGTCTTCCCTGGAGACTAGGAGTCCTCGGAGTGGAAATAGCTGGCCAGGCTGAGCCCAGATGAGGTTTGGGTGGCCTAGGCCTAGATGTCTCTGGAGTGGGCAGGCATTAAGCCATTTGGCAGAGATGCCTGCATCTGCCCTCCAGTCACAGCCTTTGACATCCGCCAGCCACCCCAGGTGTTATTCCTTCCTGCCTCTCCACCCTCCTGGGATCTGGGGCAGAGTCGGGACTGCCCCGGCGCTGGGGAACAGTCTGTTCCCGAGGCCTCTGGTCCCCTGCAGCAGTGGCTCCTGGCACTAAGGCCAGGCAGGGACCAGGAAAGGGCACAGGCTCGACAGAAGGGGGGCTTGAAACCTCATCCTGTGAGGATTACTTTGGAAATAATGGCTCCGGAAGGGGGGAACATGATTGATGTCTTCAAATATTTGAAGAACTGATGTGCGGAAGTGGGAGTAGCCCTTTCTGGAGCCAAGGGAGGAACAAGGGCCGATAGGCAGGGAGGCAGGTTTCAACTCTATATAGGGAAGCACTTTCCAGCGATTGCAGCTGCCCAAAGATGGAATGACTGTCCCAAGAGAGGGTGTTCTTGCCGTCACAAGAGGTGACCAACAGAGTCAGACAACAATTCCAAGGGGCTGTAGCCAGAGCAGTGCAGGGTGGGCACTGCTGTAGGTGGCCAGTCTTTCTAAGCTTACATCTCATGACAAGCCCATGGCACAACTAAGGTGCAGAAGTAAGGGCCAGGGCAGAGGGCGCCTCACTCCTCGGACTCAGTAGCCAAAGCCACTAGTTCAAGTCCCAGCCCTGCTCCTTAGCAGCTGAGGACTCATGATGAGTGAGTAATTTAACCCCTCAGTTCTTCATCCTGAAAAGTGGGACAATAACTGTCACCACCTCAGAGGATGGTGGAAGGTTAATGAGATGCTGCATATCCATGCCAGGACTCTGATAATAACCATCTCTCATTATGTTTATAAATTTAGTTTTTTGTTGTTTTGTTTTTTAATATTCATTTATTGTGACTGCACTGGGTCTCCGTTTTAGTTGCATCATTCAAACTCCTAGTTTCAGCATGTGAGATCTAGTTCCCCGACCAGGGATCGAGGCTGGGCCCCCTCCCTTAGCCACTGGACCACTAGGGAAGTCCCCCATAAGTTTAGTTTTTGCTTTCTGTCTTGCTTAGAGAGCATCTAACCCTGACTCCTTCCTCTTGCAGGTAGAGAAACTGAGGCTCAGATAGAGGAAGTGAAGTGACTTGCCTTTAGGCAGCAGGTTTCATTTTTGCCTCCGCCCTCAGCCCATCCTCCCAGAGACCTGTGCTGTGTGCCCACAGCCCCTGGGCAGAGCAGTGGCTGGTTTCCCCATGCCTCCAGGCCTGCCAGAGCCTCCAGGGCCACGTTTGGCCCATAGAACACATTTGTGTTCTAATTAATTGTCCCTCTGGGCCTCCACCTCTGCCCCAACACCCTGGCATCTGGGGCCTGAGGCCCTGCTTCTCAGAGACACACAAAGAAGCCCACGGTGCTGGCCAGGAAACTGGATTTGGAAGGAGCTGGGCAACTCAACATGCCAGTCACCCCAGGGCTCTGTCTGGCTTTTCAGCTGGCACACCAAGGACCCACCTTGTGCCCAAACATTTCCCCCTCTGATTCCCCTTTGTCCTGTGGCCTGCTGGCCTCCCCAGGGCTAGAGGGGTCTCCACTTCCATCCCCTTGGCATGGCTGCCAAGCTGGCAGTCATGGCACATAGGCCGCCTGGTATCCCAGCTGGGAACATGGGCCGAGTCTCTCTGCCCTATGGCCCCTCCCCCCATCTTTTTTTTTTTTTTTAATCACTGGCGAAAAGAAGTGGGCAGGAGAAACGGCTCTGAACAGGAGGTTGGTGGGGCAAGGGTCTAGGTAGAGCGGTCCAGATTTCATTCCAGGCAGAATAAGGGTGTGTTAGGGTGAGCAGTAGAAATAGCTCTTTGTCATTGTTATTCCCAGGCAAAGTCATGTCCAACTCTTTGCGACCCCATGAACTGCAGCATGCCAGGCTTCCCTGTCTTTCACCAACTCCAGGAGCTTGCTCAAACTCATGTCCATTGAGTCAGTGATGCCATCCAACCATCTCATCCTCTGTGGCCCCCTTCTTTTGCCCTCAATCTTTCCCAGCATCAGGGTCTTTTCCCATGAGTCAGCTCTTCACATCAGCTGGCCAAAGTGCTCTAGCCTTGGCAGAATCCACCCTGTGCTCCAGAACATGCACTCTGTTTAGGGTTCAAGCCACTTGCTCATCATTTGTTCCACAAACATGGAATAAGCATCTTCTATGTGCTGAAGCCCATTATGGGGATTTGAAGCAACTTTACGTGCTCTCCAGGGGCTCACAACCTCCTGAAGGAGTTGAGAAGTAAATGACAAAACGTAAACCTGATCAGAGCTCTCCTGTGGTCCCACTAAAAGGAATTCCTACAGAAGAGATAGCTCCCCCGAGGAAGAATAGTCACAGGAAACCCTGGAGGATAGAAAGCGAGACAATTGGATAAGGCAGGGAAGAGGACAAGCATGTCAAATGCTCAGAGGCATAAAATACAGATGAGTTCAACTCATTATGTCTGAACTCAGGTGGAAGGCATGGGGTGGCAGGGTGGGTTTGGCCAAGTAGAAGTGCCCTGGCTGGCACAAAGGCCATGACTGAGTCCTGAGGAACCATGAATGGTTTTTGCATTGTCAGGGGTCACCTTCCTGCTGCATGGAGAACAGGTGGGGATGGGCAAGGTGGAGGCAAAGAGTTATACCCCTGAACCAGACTGAGGGTGCCAGAGCCTGAACTAGGGCAGGGTTCTGGGGGTGCTGAGATGTTGCAAAGGATGGGCTGGAAAGGTGTTTGGGAGAGAGAATCAACACTGAGGATGAGGGTCCAGAGCGACCACTCCCCCTCTCCCTGTTCAAGAACTGAGGACTTGGCATGTTTTATTTGGCCCTCAAAGTATTAGGTTGCTAACTCAAGTAAATGGTACACCCATTCAACGAAATTCCTGTGTGGCCATAAAAAAAGAATGCTGAAACTCTTTGTGTATTGGTATGGAATGATTTCCAAGATTTACTGTTAAGTGAAAAAAAGCAAGGTACAGGAGAAATAATATAATACCATTTCTGCAAAGAAAAAAAAGGGAATAAAATTTCTTGAATTTGTTTCTATTCAATTTCACATAAGAGTCTCAATTTCTTTTTTTTTTTAAGAGTCTCAATTTCTTAACTGACTTTTTTCTTTTTTTTTTGGCCACGCAGCATGGGGGATTGTCCCATGACCATCCCCCCAACCTGTTCATCACCCCCCAACCCCCTCATCAACCCTCAACTCCCACTCCCCACAGTGGAAACGCAGAATCTTAACCATTGAACCACAAGGGAAGTCCCTCTTAAAGTCCCTGACTTTAAATCTCAGAAGTTCATTAAGTGGATTAATCTTTTTTTTTATTAAAAAATCACATTTATATGGAACTTCCCTAGTGGTCCAGTGGTTAAAACTGTATGCTCCAATGCAAGGGGCACAGGTTCTATCCCTGATGGGGGAACTAAGATTATGCATGCCATGTAAAATAAAATGAAATTACCCAAAAAAATTACATTTATAAAAGTCTAGATTTCTTTTAAAAAATTGGGAACCCTGGCAATGCTGGGCTGCCCATATACACTAGCCTCAGCTGGTAGAGGAGACCAGTATCTACTTGCTGGCCACACAGTTTGCCACAGTCCCCACCACTCCTAATTATGCCTGTCCGGTCAGAACTCCTTTGCTAGAGGAGGTTCCCTGCCTGGCTCTTGTGGGCACCTGGGGGTGGTGACCTACCTTCTGGAACTTGGCAGCCTTTCTCTCAGGAGAAGCTTTGTATCACCTCTGGCTCTCACCTTCAGGCTGCTGCTGGCCAAGGAGAGACCCTCGGGAGCCAGCCCCCTCCAGGCTCACCATCCCTCTTCCTCTCTCAGCTCCAGCGGTTCAAGCGCTCTCTTTCTCTCAAGACCATCCTCCGAAGTAAGAGCGTTGAGAACTTCTTATTTCGCTCCGGCTCTGAGCTTAAGTGCCCCACAGTCTTGTTCTTCGCAGGAAACTCCAAGCAGGGTTTGCGGTGTAAGACATGCAAAGTCAGCGTCCACCTCTGGTGCTCCGAGGAGATCTCCCGCCAGCAATGCCCAAGCAAGACGGTGAGTGGGGACCAGGTGGAGGTGGCTGACTGATGCTCCCAGGCTTGGCTTCCAGGGCTCTGAGTGCCACTCAGGGCTGATTCCTCAGGTCGAGGGGTGCTTGGGCTTGGGGAAGGCCAAGCTCTCAGGGGCCGTGACCTCTCTATACCCTCTCTCTGCCCGCTTTTGCCAGTCTTCCTCCTTCCGCCGCAACTTCAGCTCCCCACTCCTGGTACATGAGCCTCCACCAGTCTGTTCCATGAGCAAGGAGTCCCCACCCACTGGTGAGTGTCCAGCGTTGCCCCTCATACCCGTGGTGTGAGGAGAGACCCACACACTCCTCAGATGGACTTTGAGTTACACTGACACTGCCTGTTCTTGGCACTGCTACTGCTCCCTTTTAATTTTTTTAGATTTTTCTTCATCTTCCCCTCTCCCTAATTCTTTGGTAGCTCCTGTCCTGAATGTAGAGTTGGTTCATCCATCCATCCATCCTTCAACAAAAACTTTGTTGAGCACCTGCTAAGTGCCAGGCACTGTGCTAGACCCAGGGACACAGTCCTAAAGAAGGTGGAGCTCATGGTCTAGTAAGGAGCTAGACATGCAATAGATAATCACACAAGTCATCAATTAGCCACCATTTGGTGGATGCCTGAAACCGAAGGATAGGAAACAAAGAGGATAAAAAGGCGTCCACCTCATCTGCAGAGACAAGGAAGGCATCAAGGAAACTTGAAGGATAGGGAATTAACCTGAGGATCTGGGGAAGACCAGTGTGGACAGAAGGCAGGCCAGAAGCAGAAAGGGGCAGAAAAAGGACAATGAGGCTGGGAGTGAGAGAGTGAGATAGAACCCTAGGTGCAGGGCCTTAGGGTCCGTTTTAAGAGTGTTCTTTGGACTTTATTCAAGTTTAGTTTATTGAAGTATAGTTGATTTACAACATTGTGTTAATTTCTGCTTTACAGCAAAGCAATTCAGTTATATACATTCTTTATATATATATACATTCTTTTTCATATTCTTTCCCATTATGGTTTATCACAGGATATTGAATATAGTTCCCTGTGCTATACAATAGGACCTTGTTGTTTATCTGTTCTCTATATAACAGTTTGTATCTGCTAATCCCAAACTCCCAATTCATCCCTCCCCCACCCCCCCTTGGTAACCACAAGTCTTTGGACTTTATTCTAAGGTCAATTTTTGTGTTTTTACAAGAGCATTCTGGCTACTGTGTGGACTGGAGGGGCTGGAGAGAAGCAGGGAGACCATGGGGAAGCTATGATGGTTGCCAGTTTGGTAGCTTGGATCAGGCTGGCAGCCATGGAGATGGAGAGAAGTGAGCAGATGCTAGACTTGTTTGGGAGGCAGGACGAGATGATGGAGTGAACACAAACAGTGCAGAGGGTGAGGGGTCGAGGATACTTCAGGCTTCTGCCTGGGCACCATGGGAGGACATGGAGTTCTCACTGCAATTAGGGAGACTTGGGAGGGGCAGGTGAGGGGCATGCAGAATTCACTTTAGGGCTGGCTGAGCAGGGCAGCCAGGTGCCCAGCCTTGATGGTGACTCCTCGGCAGGGGCCAGTGGGAAGGTAGACCCCGTGTATGAGACCCTGCGCTATGGCACCTCCCTGGCCCTGATGAACCGCTCCAGCTTCAGCAGCACCTCTGAGTCCCCGACAAGGAGCCTGGTATGGGGGACACCGGAGGGGGGCGGGGGTCCCAGAGGGTGGGGGGCTGAGCCCTCCCCTCTCTGTGTCCCCAGAGCGAGCGGGATGAGCTCACCGAGGATGGGGAGGGGAGCATCCGCAGCTCAGAGGAGGGCCCTGGCGACAGCGGTGAGTGGGGTTGGGGACCAGGGGCAGGCGCGGAGCACAGTGGGGGCCACCACCTGCAGCCTCACACTCTGGCCCCACCCCGGCATCTCCAGTATTCACAGCCCCAGCCGAGAGCGAAGGGTCAGGACCGGAGGAGAAGAGCCCAGGACAACAGGTGAGACTGGGATGGCACTGAGCCTTGGCAGGCCAGGTGGGAAGGGGACATCCTTCTCCTTGTCACTGATCCCTAGGTGGGTGAGAGTATGCTGAGTGGGAGTCTCACTGTGCCATCATTTTCCCTCAATCTACAGGGATGGGCAATGCCAGGGTGAGTGGGGATGGGCAATGCCAGGGTCAGTAGGCATGGGAGGCAGGGGTGTTACCCCTCCCAACACTGACCCCATGCCTACTGAGCCCACTCCTACTCCCCAAGGGTGGGCAGTCCCAGTGCAGCAGGAAAAGGAGGCTCCCCTTCCCATCCCTGGCCCAGTCCCTCAGGGGTGTGTGAGTGCAGCAGGCAGGAGACTCTGACCTCTCCCTGTCACTGACCCATGTCCTAGCCCCAGGGTAGGCAAGATCAGGGCAAGGGGAGAGTGGGTGGAGTAATAAAGGTGTCCTTCTCCCAGCAATGACCCCGAGCTTTTCCGCAGCCCCCCAGACCTCCCCTCCGGAAGGATGTGGGGCCCATGTACTCCTACGTGGCGCTCTACAAGTTTCTGCCCCAGGAAAACAATGATCTGGCTTTGCAGTAAGTCCTCCAGTGGTCCAGCCTCCCCCCTACCTCTGCCCCCACTCCAGGGGGCTGCCTGCCTCCAACCTCAGGGCTCTGCACTCCCAGACCTTGGAACATGAGTGTGAGGGGGACCTTCGGGAACCTCCACCTGGCATGCTGGAGGCTACTGAGCCCCCAGATGAGACAGAGGTGCCAGGGTCCAAGAGGGTGGGTACTGATGCCATGTCTCCTGCCCCTGCCAGGCCTCTGTCCTGCAGTGTCTATGTACCTATGGTCACACAGGGACCATCGAGCACTCTTGCAGGGGACCTGGGGGTCTAGGACTGTTGGGATGCAGGGCGGGCAGGTCCCTCCTGCCCCACATGCTACGCCCCCACCCCCCGACTCTCTTGTCCCAGGCCTGGAGACCGGATCATGCTGGTGGATGACTCTAACGAGGACTGGTGGAAGGTGATGTGGCAGGGTGGGGAGCAGAGGGTGAGCAGTGGTAGGCACCTGACTAGCCTAGAGCCATAGAGGGCACTTTCCCTAATAACCCCCCTTCCTCCACGACCTAGCCAGGCCTAGGCTCACCCTCAGGTCTTGCCTTTACTTCACCCCTCTGTGCCCCAGTCTTGTCCCTCTGCCTACCTTGTGCCCTTCCCAACCCAGAATCCCCCGACTAAGGGCTCAAACACAAAGAACCCAGGATCTACAGGATGAGGGCCTTGGCTCTGAGTGGATATTAGGTCTAGAGAAAGCAGTTGGTTGGGGCAGCACAGCGCTCACTGCCAGCCTCATTCCAGGGCAAGATCGGCGACCGGGTTGGCTTCTTCCCAGCCAATTTTGTGCAGCGGGTGAGGCCAGGCGAGAACGTTTGGCGCTGCTGCCAACCCTTCTCTGGGAACAAGGAGCAAGGCTACATGAGCCTCAAGGAGAACCAGGTGAGAACCTGGGCCCTGCATGGCTGGGGAGGCTGGCATAGGAGGGAGAGAAGTGGCAGGAAGGTGGGTGAGTGCCCTGGAGAAGGAGGCTTGGAGCCTGGTGGCAGGAGGGAGGGCAGATTAGAAGCTGTGGGACTGGGGACTTCCCTGGTGACCTAGTGGTTAGGATTCCAGGCTTTCACTACCATGGCCTGGGTTCAATCCCTGGTCGGGGGACCGAGATTCTCACCAAGAAAAGAGAGAAGGAAGCAGCAGTGGGACTACTGGGAACTGGGGCTGGTGGCCAGCACAGGAGGGGGGGTGGGGCAGGCAGTGCCAGGCCTCAACGTTGTGTCTCTCCCGCTCAGATCTGTGTGGGCGTGGCCAGGAGCAAAGATGCTGACGGCTTCATCCGCGTCAGCAGTGGCAAGAAGCGGGGCCTGGTTCCAGCCGATGCCCTGACCGAGATCTGAGAGGAGCCAAGAAAACCCAGAAGCCACCCCTGCCCGTGCCCAGCCCTCCTCGCTTCTGGCCCCCCGGGGGGGAGGTTCCCTCTGCTCCTCTCCTAGGGGCCACTCACCATGGCTTGGGAGCCTTCTGTACTAAGAAAGGTGTTATTTCTGGGGTCTTGGGTTGCCCTGAAGAGGTTGCAGCTCTGAGACTTGGGCGTGGGGAGGAGAAAGTGGGAGGGAATGACAAAACTCCAGGTGGGTCCCCCTGGTCCAGTTGCCATGCAGAGTCCAGCCCTAAGAGGAAGTTCCTGAGGAATGTCGGGGCTGCCTCTTCCAGAGAGCCTGCCCCTGCCCACCGCACCTTTGCATGCCTGACACCCCCCCGCCCCCCTTCTCACAGAGCCTCTGCTTGGGCCCTTGTGTGTGTGACCCTGCAGCTGCCACTTTGGGAGTGGGGCCCTCCCGGGTCCCTCAGCCCCAGCTCTGGGTGGGGAAGGAGCTCAGGGCTGCCAGAGGGCCCTGGTCTCATCACCTCTGTCACTCCATCAACTCTCAGGAAAGTCCTGCGGCTCTCTCTCCTGTTACCTGAAACTTGGGTGGACAGAGGAGGGGAGGGCTGAGGTCTCGGGAGCACGTGGCAAATCAGAGTCTGTCCCTCGAGTAGGACAGTCCCCACGGAGCAACCTCACTCTACCCTTGTTCACTGGGAGAGGACACACCCAAGAGTGGCCTGCACACAGAATCCCACCTGGCCCACACCTGATCAAAACAATCCCCATTTCACTGTCAGGACTCTGAACGCTCAGTTCCTGTCCCAGGCCTTGCCAGGCCTGCCCCAGGAACCCCACCCTCAGGACTGACCCTGCAATAGCCCTCCCTTACCCCCTCTCTTGGGGCTCTGTGGGGGACAGGGCTGCTGTTGCAGGGGGCCCTTTTTCTGGCTGCATCTGGTCCCTTTTCCAGGACACAGAGCCCTGGGAGGAAGCGGGAGTGGGAGACAGACAATGAATTCTGTTTGACCACCAGAAAGGGAAGGGGGTAGGCACGCTAGGGGAGGGGGTGTGTGGGGACACGCAAAGAGGACCCCTCCCTTGCAGGTTGCTTTTCTCTGGTGCCAACCTCCCTTCCCGCCCCCGCCCCCCAAGCTCAGAGCCGCCTCTTGTGCCCTTGATCGTGCCAGCCAATGCCACCCCCATCCTGGGCACAGTCACACCCTCCCATGTGGTGGGAGGGACACATCCTCCTACCCACTGGCCCCTGCCCTACCTCTCCCTCTAAGAGGGGGGAGGAACTCAAGCCACACTGCCCTGTTTGCTGCCATGAGGCCCCCCCCCAGCAATATCCCAGGGGCGGGCCCAATGCCCACTGTACATGAGGCTGCATGAGGAGTCTGCTGGGGCATTGCTGAGCCCCCAGACCCCTAATTAAATGTTTCTTGTCCCAACCTGGCTGCTCTATGTATCTATCAACTTGGGTCAGAGGAAGGGAAGGGGTGGGCGTGGCCTGGAGGTGTGGTGGGTGTGGACCAAAATAGGAGACAGCCTGAAGGTCGGAGAATGCATTCATCTCTGAGAGGAGGGATACAGGGGCTGGTGTGGCCCTGACAGTGAGGGTCCCCAAGTCTCCTCACTCCGGATCTGAGGAAATGGAGGAGGAGGTTTGGGGGACGCTGGAGAGAGAGAGAGGGTGGGGCTGCGGTCATTTTCTGGTTCGATGTGGACCTGCGTTGCGCAGGGGGCGGGCACGCACCTCCGCGTTTCTGCCCACCCAGAGGTGTACCCGGAGACCAGCCGAACCCAGGGTCTGGCGGCCTTAATATCCACCGGAGATCAGCCTCGCCCCCGCAGCCCCCTAAGCCCGAGGCAGGTACGTTGGTGGACGGTGCGGCCTTGAGATGACTCAGTCACGCCCATCACTGGGAGCCTGGCGCAAGGGGGCCGCGGTGGCGCCCCTCCCGCCGCGGTGCCCGCCGCCCACCTGCTCGGCAGAGCAGCCTTTCCCCTCCGGCACGCCTGGCCGCGTCATCTCCCAGGCGAGCACGTCCTGGGCTATTTATAGACAGAGGGGCGGGCGGAGGGAGGGAGAGGCGGGCTGCGAGGGTGCCAGGGCAACGGCGTGAAGCCAGAATGCAGAGCGGGTGGGAGCTTGCTCCTCCGGATAGGCACGCATACGGTTCTGCCTTCCAGCCCACCCCACCCCCCGCCCAAATCAAGGTGGGTCAGGTGGGACCAGTCCCTGGGTCGCCAACCACGCTTTCTTTGGTCCCTTTCATCCAAGAATGATGGGGGTGGAGGGCAGCGGAGGAGCAGGAGGAGGGTGACTCCCCTTCCTAGGACCCTTGATGGTGGGATTGGATAAAAGTGTCACAGACCCAGTGGAAAGGCTTATAAAGAGGGGAACTCACACAAATAGACACCTACTATGTCTGGGAAACTGTGCCAGGGACTTAATTTTATTTTATCCTCTTAAGGACCCAGTGAGGAAAGAGATGGTGTCCCCTATTCACAGATGATGAAACTGAGGCCTAGAGATATTAGGTAGCTTGCCCATGGTCATACAGATTATCCAGCCCAAACTGTCCCTTTTTTACACGGAGCAGCTGAGGCCCAGAGCAGACTCATAACTTGCCCAAGGTCACCAGCAAATTAATGGTCAAGTTGGTTTCAGAAATTCTATCTCTTGCTTCCCAGTTCAACTCTTCCCCAACTTGACCTTGGGTTCCTCAGGGCCTTAAACCAGTAAGACGGAAACAGAGACCCCTGGAGATGCTGGAGGGGCTCCAGGGTTTAAGACCTCACCCCCTGGAGACAGTCAGAGACTTTCAGCCGAACCTTCTGAACAACCACTTGTGTCCGTACCAGCCGGCAGCTGGCCTGGACCCCCGCCTACCCCCAGCTCATTTGCCGCACTGCTGAACACAGCAGCTTTTTCGGGTGGCTGAACCACCCAACAGCAGGCTCACAGCCTGGGGGCTGGGAACAGCTGGTGGCCCCGCCGTGGCTGCGGCCCCCCTCGGTGTCCTCTCTGGGGGTGGCAGGAGTAGCAACACCATTGCCCTGGGGTGGAGGATGCTCAGCAGCCTCCTGGTGGTGCCCACCCCCCATTTGGCTGTTGTCTGTGGCCTCTGTCCCCCCTCCTCAGCCTGAGCTTAACCTGGTTACCCTGAGAGCTTAAGGTTATCTAGGTTTAGGAGAGATGCAAAAAGGGGGGAAGTCTGGGGGCCAGAAACAAGAGGCCTAAAAGGGCAGAAAGATGGAAACCAGAGGTGGAGACAGGGAGATGCGGACAGAGCAAGCCCCCTCCCATCTTACTAGCACTACTGCCTTTGGCTCCTTCAGCCTTCTCCCCCTTCCCCACCTCCTTAACACCCACTCCTCAATGCTTAGGACGTTGGGGGCACCTGCTGAAGAGTGCGAGGAAGGCAGTGCAAACCTCCCGCCTCAGCTCTCCCTGTGCTTTGGGGAGCCAGCCCAGGTGGTTCACCTCAGAGAGAGCACCAAGGACCTTAGCCTTTGTCCAGGCGCAGCAGCTGTACTCGCACCTCTCAGGTGCGGCCCACTCTGAGTCACCCCCCCTCACCCATGCACATCTGAAGGAATCAAAGGTGGGTGCTGGTGTTCAAGCCAAGCTTGGATTCTGGGGGGCCCTCCAGGCTTCAGTTTCCTCCTCCAGAAATGGAGTTGGACTTGCTCGGGGAGTCTTTACCTGGGGCCATGAACCCCTTTAAAGGGTATGCAAAATTATATGATGGGACCAGTTGCAAGCTCTTGAGAGAATGGACATGTCTTTTTTCTTTATTTTTGGCTGTGTTGGGTATTTGTTGCTGCGTGCCGGTTTTCTCTAGTTGTGGTGCATGGGTTTCCTCATTGCAGTGGCTTCTCTTGCTGTGGAGCACCGTCCCTAGAGTGCAAAGGCTTCAGTAGTTGCGGCATGTGGGCTCAGTAATTGTGGCTCATGGACTTCATTGCTCCGCAGCATGAAGAATCTTCCGGAACCAGGGATCAAACCTGTGTCCCCTGCATTGGCAGGTAAATTCTTAACCACTGGACCATGACTTAAGTCCCGAATGGACATGTCATTTCATTAGAAGTTCTCAAGGCTCCAGGACTGGAAGAGATCCAGTGATTACTTTAGGGGACCTGTCTGCTGAGGGGGCCATCCTAGGCACTGCCTGGAAAGGGGTTAGAGGCCGGTGGTGGAAAGAGGTAACCTTAGGTCTGGAGTGAGCTTCAGAAGTGATTAAATGCAAGCCTTCCCAAGAGATAGGCTCTTACAACTTAATTCTTCCCTCCCCCTCCCTTCAGCCCCTCACCAAAGTGAGGCAGTTTCCTATATCTTCAGTGACCTGTGGTCTGGCTTGCCTGGTGGCTCAGATAGTAAAGAATCTGCCTGCAATGCAGAAGACCCGGTTTCATTCCCTGGGTTGGGAAGACCCTGGAGAAGGAAATGGCAAGCCACTCCAGTATTCTTGCCTGGAGAAACCCATGGACAGATGCGCCTGGCAGGCTACAGTCCATGGGGTTGCAGTCAGACATGACTGTGCGACTACCACTTAACTTCATTTCAGTGACTTGTGAGAGCATAGCACCATCTCCTGGTCCGCGATGGCAACCCTTTTCTGTGCAGGCACCTCAGGAGCCCCAGTGAAGGTTCTAATTGTCCTTCCTATCATCTCTCTACTGCCTGGAGGAGGTGGAGGGGGGTGGCCTTCCATGCCCTTCCTCCTCTGGTCCAGGCATGGGAAGGTATCTCATGCTCCAAGCAGCTTGGTGAAAGCCCTTCTTCTTCCAGGCCACAGCTTCCCTATTTGGAATGATAGGCTTAGAGCAGGTCCTATGGATACTCTATGCACAGGCTGGTTATGGTGGCAACAGGCAAGCCCAAATCAGTGTCCTCTCAGCCCAGGTTCTGATGCACACGGGTGGTGGTCGAAGTTGTCTGGACTGTTCTGTCTGCACCTCCCTGCCTTGGGTTACCCATCTCCCCACCTGTCCAAACTGGACAAGGAGACTACAGGCAGAGATGGGGACAGGTCTGCTGCCCTCAAGATGACTTTAGCCCTGCCTTTCCCATGCCAAATAAATGCAGATGGGCACACCTGCCCATTACACACCCTGAAGACCCTTTACTAGCCTTCGCATTACTCCAAAAGTTCCTATTGAAGACAGGTGGAAGGCAGGGAAGTAACCAGGAGGGGGACCAGTCATAGCTGTTCCCCTTTCCTTCCCACTTCCCAGCTCCCACTGGAGCTGACACTTCTGTATTTAATTGGTTGACTGATCCCTTCCACCTGAACACCAGTCCCTCAAACTGTCACCCACTCAATATATTCAAGTCAGCTCTTCAGGCATTTTCCACTGTGAGTGGATCCTTCTGACCATCAGACATCTCTTGCCCAGTCTTCCACAGCTTGAGGCCTGGGAATCAAGCCAGGTTATTCATCTCCTTCTCCCCATCCCTAATGATACAACACTAATTCAGGCTGAACAGGTGACTCCAACATGTGGCTTAACCTCTTTTCCCATCTGAAAATGGAGAAGCAAATACCCTACTTTAGAATGTTAGAGAATCAATGCAAATCAGTGTAAATGTCTTAGTACTTGGCTCATAGAGCAGATACTTTATTATTACTACCATATAACAGGGAAGATAAAACCTACTTCTCATTTGTAAAGAGTATAAAGTTAACCCAGAATGGCTTTGACAAGTGTGTGTTATGTGCCTTTATTCCAACTCTTGCCAAGAAAGTTTTTTTTCTTTGGACCCTTTTAATGGTTATAAAGCAAAAAACAAAACAGGAAACAGTACCGATAAAGACACGAAAGAAAAAAAAGGTTTAAAAATTAAAAATAGGGATGCTCAAAATGATGGCTTCAGTTCTATCTCAATAAGGCTGTCTAAAGAGCTCAGACAGCAGTCAGCAGTTCAGGTTCAGATCACCACCTTCTGGACCGGTGGTGGTTCAATCCAAACTGTCCTGGGGTTCCAAGGCAGCAGACTGCAAATCTGAACCTCAGTGCAGCTGAGGAGCACAAGCATATTATTTTCTGTTTTTAATTAATGTGACAACTCACAACTGAATACCAACCAAAAACCAACATCCAAGACCGTGTCAGGCTACAGTCCATGGGGTTGCAGTCAGACATGACTGTGCGACTACCACTTAACTTCATTTCAGTGACTTGTGAGAGCATAGCACCATCTCCTGGTCCGCGATGGCAACCCTTTTCTGTGCAGGCACCTCAGGAGCCCCAGTGAAGGTTCTAATTGTCCTTCCTATCATCTCTCTACTGCCTGGAGGAGGTGGAGGGGGGTGGCCTTCCATGCCCTTCCTCCTCTGGTCCAGGCATGGGAAGGTATCTCATGCTCCAAGCAGCTTGGTGAAAGCCCTTCTTCTTCCAGGCCACAGCTTCCCTATTTGGAATGATAGGCTTAGAGCAGGTC